TGGGAGTTGAAGTCCACAGGTTGTAAAAGAGCCACATTTGCCCACCCCTGATCTAGACCATCACCATCAACCCCAAGAAGGGTAGCTAACTAATAGCATAAGGTTGTGGGAGTTGTTGTAAAAAAAAAAAAAAAAAGGCTCCCTAACCCTTATAGGTTCACTTTCCAGTAGATTTACATCATTGCATATTATACATCTTAAACATAATGTACATATATTAGGTTGCATTAGTAATGAACTATATTTGTTTAATATGGCAAACATATAACAATGTTAACTTTACTATGTGACTCAAAGCAAATCATTAAGGCTATTTTTTAAACTGCTGCATTCAAGGATATGTACGAACCAATAATTTAATACAAGTCTAGCTACCACTGAACTTATCAAGCTTATATTCAACTTTATACAAGTATCAGGTACATTTGTGTTATCTGAGTTCCTTCAAATGGAAAGTCTGAATAGCCAGAGCCTTCAGGGCAAATAGTGACAGATATTGACAGCTGTAATTTATTAACATTTGCAGGGCCACAAATGTTGAATATCTTCCCTGTAGTTTAATATCTTTGTTTGTAAATGCTTTATTATTTATCCGATTCTACATAACTAAACATACTGAGGGTTATTTTCTGGGCAAGTGTTCTAATTTATATTGTATGGGTAAAGATTGTTTCCTGGGTTTATAAACATGCACGTCCATTTGCCTGTTTTTTCAACATTTCTAAAGACAATGGGGAGAATCCAAAAATTGTAACAAATCGCATTTTAACATTCACAAACTCTATTACCCAGTTTGGTATTGGCTCAGAGCAACATGTTATGTACTTTTGAAATGCAACACCTGAATAAAGATAATCAATAGAGTAGGTTTGCACAACTAAAAAAGTTTAAATATGATTGTTTACAACTTATCATATTGTGTGAATATAATTGGCATAATTAGCTAATGGTTTACTTTGTTGCATAAAATCAGACAAATTAGTTCAGTTAATATTCTGAGTGAATACATCCAGATAGCAATATAGTATAGTAGTATAGCCTTTATTTCATTGTACATCATATATACAATGAAATTGGTTTTAGCCTGGTGCAATCCATGACAAAAAATACAAACAACATAAATTGTATAAAGAATAATCCCTATGTATGTAATTAGTGGAGAAAAAGAAAAAGAAAAAAATAAATAAGTGTCTTCCTTAGTCTGCTAAAGCAGCGAGGCCTGGTGATGTCATCCAGTGGTGTTAGAAGGCAACCAATGGTTTCTTGTGCCGAATTGATCGCTCTCTGTAGTGCCTTCTTGTCCACAGCAGTTAAACCAGCGTACCATACTGTAATGCAGTATGTGAGAACACTTTCTATCGTGGACCATAGAAAGAGATCATCAGCTATTGTTCCACCTGATTTTTTCACACGACTCTAAGGAAATGAAGTCTCTGTTGAGCCTTGCCAATCACCAGGAACATGTTGTTTTTCCAGGTGAGATCTTGACTAATAAGCACTCCCAAGAATTTAAAAGAGGAAATCCTCTCCACACAGCCCCCCTTGATATACAGTGGGGCAGGTTCCCCTCTGTCCTTCCAGAAATCTAGCACCATCTCCTTTGTCTTCTAGCATTTAGATATAAGTTGTTTTTGAGAACCATGCGGATACCTTCTGGACTTCTTCCCTTTATGCTGATTTGTCCCCTCCAGTTATGAAACCCAGCACCATTGTGATGTCTGCAAACTTTATGATGATGTTGGATGGATCAGAGTATATGCAGTCATGTGTATACAGCGAGTACAGGTAGGAGCTCAGCACACAGCCCTGAGGGGAGCCTGTGTTGAGCTTCAGGGTGGAAGATGTAAAGGAACCAACCATTACTGTTTGTGGACGATCCATCAATGTATTTATTCATTATAATTCCTCAGTTGAAGAACTGAGATAGAGAGTCTCAGTTTTTTACAAGAGTATTGTCAGCTAGGCTACATTATATATATCAACATTAAATTTCACTGTAATCATTTGTAGAATTTACTTTTTGTTTGCTAGCTATTATGTGTTCCTAAGAACTTAAAAGGGAGAGAGTGAGTTCTGTTCTCATAACATATCAACATTTTAGGCTGGTATATATAGCTTGAGTCTAGTTCATGTAATTAATTTATAATTCAGAGTACTAATGTAAATCCCAAAGTATATTGTAAACCATTGTTATATAAAACATAACACAAAACATGTGTCCTTGTTCTTTACAATATGAAGAGAGCACTCGAGTGAATAGTTAAAAAAAAAACCTATTGATCTGGACACATATGTACAGATTTATTGGCCAGAAAGGTAGCAAAGCAGAACAACTGTTAGCAAATGTAAACACTTGAGCAATACATAATTCACAGGAGCAATAGAAATTGACTGTTCACTTCTATGGAGCAGTTGCTAGTGCTCCATAGAAGACCAGTGATTGCTATATGTTAATGAACAACGAAGTTAGCATATGAGCTACAGCTGTTCCGAGCTATCAGTCAGGAACTTTTGTGGGCCACAAGTTTTTCCTGCTCTGAATAGGCCTGCTTCCATGCTTGAAGGCTCAGTAAATTCATGTATTCAATCATAAATGTCTATACATATACAATGACACTGAATCATAAACTAAACCATTTTGACTTTATTGCACAAATCCTGACAGTGAATTTAGTGAACTCAGGAAATTGGGGCTAATTCCATTATTAAGTTAGTCACAGGTAAGCAAGTTGAACAAAGATAGCCTATAGATTTAAACTCAATGAGTTCATTATTCTGGTGAGCAATAGTGACTAGCCCACAGGCATTCAGGATGGAACTATAACTGAGATCTCACAGGACCAAATCCGACAGTCAAATTGCTTGAAAGCTATTCTTCTTTTGCATCTCAACAACAGCAATGGTCCCTTTGAGATTTATTAGCTCTATTTCTTCACAGTTCCTTAACGATGGAATATTCTTTATAGATTTTCCAGTCTATTAATTTTGAAACATTTATGGCTCGAGAGTAGAATGTAGTATAGAAGCAAAATGTATGAGATCCCCTTACTCATGTCTTCTCAATGTCTTCCATATTTATATATTGTGTCATTTTCTAAGGAGTTTAGGGCAGTCTAAATCTTCTTTAATCTTCATAGCTATCCTGGAAAATATTTTAACTAAGGTAGGAATTTTGAACTATTCACTGATAAATTGTATAGCTAAGTAGAGACTTGAACTTGGGTTTCCTCAGCGTTTCAACCTCATGTTATGAAAGCTTTAGGGATATTTGTTGATTTTTGAAAACAAATTTTGAACATTTGAAAGTGAAAGACTGCCAGATATTACTGTTTCAGATAAGGCTCTGGAAGCACTGTGGTAGGATGTATAGCTTATATATGATGTGTATCATTATTAATAGAACTATACAGCCAGTTGGATTTGAAGGGAAAAGAGGGTTTTGACTGCAGAGAAGCCCATGTTAGCATGGGCTTGATTAAGGGATTTCCCATAAGTGCTAAGAGTACTTCAAATCTTTCAAGCATCATACAGCCTTAACTATTTATGTTGTATAAAACTAGCTACAAGAACATTCCTATTAATCTGTATTCATTTTGATTGGGCAAGGATAGACCACTTTTGCTTGCATGACCTACATACTAATTATTTATTTAGTTAAAATCTATAATTAAGTAAGCTTGGTTGGTATGGCATACTGAGTTGTAAACTAATTAATCTGGGTACATTCATACATGACTAAAACCTGATTTGCTTTCTTGCTATTTAATATGTTATATGAACCTATCCTTTCTCTTTTGAAATCTCTTTGACATTTTCAAGGTCTGGTTGCTGCACTGCAAATTGCCTCGTTTTTCTAGAATGACTAGGTAAAAAACAAAACCTAGTTTCTGCATTTTTATAACAATATATTAGAAGGAATTTCCATCCATGTACTTTTAGCAAATTAATATTTAAAAAAGCAATTGCTTTTGAATTAAATGCAGTACTAAAGACAGTGCAGGAAGAGAACATGGTGACCTGTGTGATGTGTCATCATGTGCTTCTGACAAAAATATGCAGCCTTTGGTCTGTTTTCTGATTATTAGCAGGAGATAAATCTTCTTTTCCGCATTTTTATGTAAAAGCATGCTTGGAGAAGAATGATGAATGGATTTCATATGGAAGGAGTTGTGAACTTGATTAACTCGGAATTCATCAGAAATTCCTTTCTCAAATATGTGTATAGAGTCATGGTCTTTCTTAATTTTGTAAAACTCACTAAACCATAGTCTACCAAATCATAGTTTGAGTAAATCACAATTTATGGCATAATGATGGTTTATAACTGGAAGCCATAAATATTATGCCATAAAGCACTCTCTGGAACAATAATGGCTTGTAAAGTCTTACCAAGTAATATCAGAATTTGTCTAATGTATGAACTTTCTGGTTTGACTGTCTGACTTTCAGTTACTGGAACTCTGCAACCTCAATTATTTGGCCTCAAAAACAAACAAGCATATTTCACATACTCTCACAAATTCAAGTTTGTCCTTATCCTGCTAAGTCAATGCTTGCATATCTGCCTATCTGCTAAACAAAAACCAAACAATATCTTAGTGTTTGGTGTCCACCATGCCCACATAAATTTGGTTGGTTGGGGTGAAAAGCCAGCTGATATTGCAACTTGTTTACTATTATTTTGGTTTAGCATATTGATTTTTAAAGTTTGGAGACAGCAGAATGCACAGACTTTCAAAGGAGACCCAATGATTAGGAAGCATTCCAAGCAGGTTGGGATCTCCTTGGGAACCCTGCTTTTAGTCCTCGTATTGGAGAAACACTCTACAGTTGGAGTTGTGGTTATACAAAGCACTACTTAAGAGACTTGTGTGCGGGGAGAAAGGAAAAGGTGAGTTTTTCTCACAGTTTTTCATTCTCGAATAACCTTAGAGAGCCTTGAAACCGAACAGCTGAAGACGAAGGGGTGGGGGTGGGGGAGCACAGGATTTCACGCATACCTTTCCCCAGTAGCTAAAACTCTGCCTTTGGGAACTTGGGAAAAAAACCACTCAGCGTCCAGGCTGTCCTCGGGCTATTCGTCGTTTAGAGTAGCTTCGATTAAGCAGAACTTTGAGTAGAAGCCATAACGAGACGCACCGGCAGCAATGAAGTAAATCAAATAGCTTAAAGACCGCGGCGGTGGGCGTGGCAGGACGGCACGTGGATTGGCGAGAGTGGCGGCGGCGGCGAGGATCCTGTTGTTGCTATTTCTTGATCTGGGAAGAGTCAGGGATTGCTCTAGGCAGGAGGCGACGGCCAGCGCACATCCGCCAAGGTACTGTAAAAGCCTTGCTAGTGCTTAGGCTATTATTTGTACTTGCATTTATTTTGTATTTTTTCATCCCACAGCATAGTTAATTAAATGTACAGGAAATAAATAAGAAAACAAAGAAAAAGTGAGAACGATAGGAGGATGCTCTTCCTTGTGATTCCCGCTGCCTTTCTTGGCATGAAATTCCACCTCCCGAGCACTTTATTGCAGAGTGAAATGCGGTTTGTTCGTCTCCTCCCCTTGTCTAGAAACTCCATTGTGTCCTATAAAGGGAGGGCGTAGATCGATAGGGAATCAAAATGGTCCTGTTCCCAGTCCTCTGGAAGAGTAACTCATGCTGGATGACGGTTTGAATTCTAAAAAGCTGACAGTCATTTTGTAAAGAGCGTCGTGGAAGCGCAAGCAAACAAATCGGGGTGGTGGTGGGGATGCTGCTGCTGGTCGGAGACTGAACAGGAATATTCCGGGATTGATAGGTCTTTTTGCAGCAGCAATACAAGAGGCGGGCTAGAATAAAGTTTGGAACGGGCGGCAGATGGTCATCCGTCTTTTGAGACGAAGGGGTTGCTCAGGGTTTCTTAGCGGCTTCCGTTTCGGTAGCGTGTTTTCAGAGCAAAGATCTAATGCTAGACTGCCCCGTCCTAGTTACATCCTACCCTTCATACAATTCAGGAGTTTCGCTCTTTAAAGTTTGGTGTCGAGTTAAGAGTCCGAAATTTGGGGATGACAGCCGGAAGTTGGTTGCTTTTCCTCTTCTGTTTTGATGTACAGTGTCTCTTCTGAGTATATCCAGATGTGTATCTGCAAGCCACGAAGATGATGCTTATGTGGCATAAAGAGCTGGCACCCATCAAGATGATGGAGTGAAGCTGGAGAAATAGGACCTGCGGCTCAAAGCAGCAGTGGTCATTTTGAACTGTCACCAGTAACCTCTAAAGGCCTGGTTGATTGGACATAGGGTGAGCTCACTTGTTAGCAGCTTTGCAGGAAAGCTACACATTTCTCAGCCACCATAGTAAATAGACATCTGCATAAAACCGATGCTGTGTTTGCTGGACAAGCTCCTGGAATTTAAAATTATGGGCTCAGTTAGTAATTGAGATTGATTGCTTTTATAGCAAAACTACTAAAGTGAAAAAAGCAGATTAGCAGATTTTTAAACTCCACTAATTTCTTTTTCCTTAAAAAAATCTTGCATAATAAATGCTTCTTCCTTCTCTCTGTGTGCTGCGGAAGCTTTGGGCCATAAATGAAAAATATGGCTAGGCAGTTAAGTTATCAGAAGGGAAGTTTTTAAGTGAAGCTTTAAACAGGATTAAATGGGATGTGTAACTGCTGTAAAGTACTGATGAAGCAATAAAATAGCTCAAAATAAAATGGAAATAATAGTAAGAAGAAAATGAAAGCTTTGCAAGGACTATGGTGATGAATTTATAATAGATAATCTGATGCAGTAATTATTTTACTATTTACATCATTAACAATTGTAATTTAACATTAATGCCTTGGTATTTTATTCTTTCTCATTTGCAGACAATGGCACATCTCAGACATCATGAGGGAGTAATTTAATGAACTAAAATAATGAATAGAAAACATGCTCAGAAGTCTGACAACATAAAGTGTAGAACAAAACAACCTCATTTGCTTTTATTTGTCTTTTATCATTCTGTTTATCATCGCTTGCATAAATGCATAGCAAATTGTATAGTAAACCCATTTCTGTGGGTTAAAGAATCTTCACTATGAACAATTTTGAAGATTTTCAGGGCCCCTTTTGGGGAGTCAGGTAAAAAAATATTTTAAATTAGCTTGAACTTTTTATGGAAAAAAATTGAACTAAAATGCACAATTGTTCTCTGAAGCATCAACATTTCCCCTTTGATGATTAAAATGGAATTGGTAATTTCACAATCTAGCCTCTTATTTGTTTACTTTCCAAACAAAAATGGCTTTTTTCACTAGTTTGTCTTTAACATAATTATCTATCTTTTGGAGACTGCTTAGTGAGCTAAATTTTGTGAGGTTCAGCAGTACTAAAGAATAAATTTCTAAACTCAGAATTATCTGATAAAATCAAGAAAAGGAAATAACGTATTTTCATAGATAACAAAAGACAGTTCATAATTGCAAGTGGATTTTTCCTAATGTAATACATATGGAATTAAGTACTGATGTGTTGCTGCTCCTGATTTTTGGTATGCTATAAGTTTGTAATGAGACCTTTCTTGGGCAGTGTTTCTCCAAATGCAGAATAGTTGGCCACTTGTCCTCCAGAAGGCATAAATTCCCAGTTTCCCTAAATCTCAGCTACTGACACTAGTAATTCAAAATTAATACCACTTAGTTGTCCCTGAAACAGAATTCTGCTACAGAAAAATAAAGTCTATTTAATTACTGTATGGCATTCCTCCCAAACTGGGAGAATATTCTTGCAAAATAATTATTACAGTTGGAAAAAAATGTAGATGTGATATAATAGGGCTTGGAAAGAAGAATCATCTTGCAATGATACTTAAGATTTCCTTTGTTCAAATGCTTAAGGGAGGCCTAGTATAATATAATGATCAGGGCCAGATTTAGATGAAAAGAGGCCCTAGGCTATTCCACTTATGAGGCCCTTTCACCTATAGTGAAAGTGTAATTTTAATTTTGCTAACAATTTGAATGTAGGCCCCTCTTGATCTTGAGGCCCTAGGCTGAAGCCTAGTTAGCCTATAGGAAAATCCGGCCCTGATAGTGATTAATATTTGACGTTTTGAACTGACATTGAGGAGACTGAGATTCTAATTCATCTTAGTCATAGATGTCCCTTATGTGATTTTGGACCACATGAGTTGTCCAAAGTCCCAAAATGCTGCTGTGCTAGTGGACACCATCCCATCAACTTCCAGTCAGACTAGTGACTCTCTTGTACAGGTAGTTCTTGACTGTAATGGAGATTGCCCATTAAGCGAGATGGCCTTGCTTAAAGACTCTCATCCCTTGCTCTCTCTGATATGGCTGTTAAACAAACATAGAAGTTGTTAATGGAGCATCATTGGCTGGGATGGGGTGCTCCAGCTCCAATGATGCTGGAGTTTGTAAGTTTACAACACAAAAGGCAAATCATCCCAATGGCAGTTTGCAAGCATCAACTGAGCAAGGGGAAATCAGACCAACTGGAATTTGTAACTTCCAGTGAACAAGAAGAAATCTTACTGGCTGGAGTTTCCGGGCCTCCAGTATACCAAATTCGTGCTATTCTGCGATACTGTAAAAAAGTGATACCCAGCCTTTCTGGCTTTGCAGACTGGCTATTTGGGAGAGAGCGGGAATGGTTACTCATCAGCAGCTCCATTTGCATGAGCGGTGGGCATATGTGCACAAATGGACTGCACATGTGCGTACTCACCCACCATTTCTTCAGCCCATTCTGAACGGGCCAAGGTCCAATAGTGGGTCACGGCCCGGGGATTGGGGACCCCTGCAGTAAAGGGATCCATTTTCTAAGGAGGTTTGTTTTGTTTATGGAGTTTATGGAACTTCCTTAAAAAGAGCCTCCTACAGATTTGTGAGAATAATACCTATTTTGCCACCAGGCTGATTCTGTAAGAAATTCTTTCTTATTGCAAAAAATAGAAAGGTAAATTGAGAGTTACTGAGCCCTGAAATAGGCCGAGTCCTGCAAATCCCTGGGTGGGAAGGCAGCTGGAGGCTTGCAAGCTGCAGATGGCCTGATCTCCCCTTGCTTACTGACTGGGAAAGAAGTTGGAGGCTTGCAAATTCTACCTGATTTGCACATGTTATGACTTGATCAGCCTGATCTCATTTGGGTGGCTGAGTGTATGTAGGGAAAAAGTGGAATTGAGTGGGTGGGTAAGTGCTGCAATGCCCTTGTGATTGGCCATAAGGATGAATGACTGCAGGGATGCTACAGCGGCTATAACTTTGAAACTAGATCATAAGTAGTCTGGGGCAGGGTTCTGTTGTAACTTCAAATAATTACTACCCAGTTGTAAGTCAAGACTACCTATATCAGTGAAGAAAATTTCACTGCCTTGCTCATTCCATATTGTCTAATATCTCATGTTGATAAATTATTCTAAGATTACATTTAGCTTTTTTCTTTTCTTCAGAACATACACTTTGGTGAGTTGAGAATTTTTGCTTAACATTGGTAAAGAGCGTTTGAATTAGCTTCCTACGATTAATTGATTTGATGCCTTAAAAAGTATCCTTCTTATAAGCAATACTCTTTTATTAATTTGAATGATAGATTGTCATTGTTGGTATTTGGAGACTTCTCTGATGTGCCCTCACTTTGTGGACTTGTTTTTCCCTGAAGATCTGTTTGGCACTAACTAGTCCTGATATTTCTCTATAAAATTGCCAAGAGAGGGCTATTCTGCATAGCATTTGATACCTAATGTTGCTTGATACTTGAGTATTTGAAAATGTTTACTCGTTTTAATTATTTTATTATGTCACTGTTTGGGGGTTTAATTGCTTTTAATGGTTTGATGCTTTAATTGTTTTTAATGGCTAGCATAAACTACCATGCATCGCAAGATTAGGCAGTAATACAGGCATAAGAAATACATAGGCTGGCACTATTCTGAGTGGCTGATGGCAGAGCGAAGACATTAATTCCATCAGAATAAACAGGCTTATTTTTAGCATTTCCCAATTTGCTCTCACTTTAATCTTGGTTCTAATGTTCTTATCCATGATATCACACTAAATAAGACGACTTTGATCACTTTTCCTCAAGTGATCAGAATATTGAATTGGACATGATTTTGTTTTAATTTATATTCT